CAAAGAACCTATTGCAATAAAACGGCAATTTCATACTTTAACCCCTACATTAAATACAAATATTTTCCTCGTTTTCGCTTTCTTGCCATGATATGAAATTTAATGAACGTAAGTTGTATTTATATTTTAAAATTTTGTACTTTCAGTTCTGGAGGCAGGGCCAAGAATACCAAAAGGGATCTTGCAAGGTAATTCTGTAGATTTAGGAAATTATCATCAATGCTTGGGCATTAACAGAGAAATCGATGATATGATTATCAACGGGAAGTATTGTCGAATAAGGATAGGATTGTCAAATCTTCAAAGCTTGGGAGATGCACCTGAATTGCGAAATATAATTAATGATATTGATTCTACAAAGAGTGAAATACTTCCGTTTAATAGATTACTACAAAATGTTGAAATTCTGAGTGGGATAGAAAGTGAAAAAAAAATGAGGTAAGAATCAAAATTTCACCGAATTTATTTTTGTATTTGGCAGTAGCACCTTATCTTTTTTTTATTTTACATATATTAGTATTTGGAATTCAAATTAATTTACCATTTTATTACAATACAAACGATATAAGTAGGCAAACAAGATACACTTAATAAATTAAGTTGAATATCCCATAATGTTATTTGATAATAAAACCCTTGCAATAACTGTAATAGATTATCTGCCAGCCGTAGATACGAGCGAGATTAGTGAATTTGAAAGGGATCGATATTTTTTGTTTTTCTCAAGAACTGATGATGTATTAGAAAGATAACTATAGATATAGGAAAAGATAATTTCTACTTTTTAAAAGGAATGAAGTTAACACGCGTGATTTATACATCACTGTAACTATTTCTGTACTAGTCTCGCTCCACAAAAGAGGCATTTTCAAAGTCATTGTCTTGTCACTTAAGATTTAAATTCAACTCCATACCGCTAATCATAAAAACGACCCAAAGTGTTTAGCTTAATGTGCTCTTGGATAGACGATCGTGGTAGAAGAATTTTGGGAAGCATCTTGTTATTTTGGGGTGAGAACAGGTAACTGATAGGATGGAATTCCGAAATGAATAACGAACGTCCTTGCGGGTTCAAAGCTGTATTCCAACAACTCTTACTTAGCGGGCGCAGCCGCCAGTACATTATTCTACGGAATACACACTTATTATTAAAACTGCCTCTGTGGCCGAACGGTTACCATGCCGGACTGCCACGCAGAGGTCCCAGGTTCGATTCCCGGGCCGGGAGAAATGTTTGTATGGCGTACATTTATTTCTCTCGTGTGTTTAGGTGTAATTTGTGGTTGTCTATGTGTGTGTCCATGGCACCCGCGACTCAGGGTTTCCCTAGTGCGGGGCTATGTTGAGTGTGTGCGTTATTTATTTATTTATTTATTTACATCTTTTTTTCCACGCAAAGGTTAATAATGTTCTAATGACATAATAAATTAATCTTAGCGCAATGTAGAATACTGTACTATAAAAAAAAGACTAACAATATATTGTTGTAAACATTGTGAGAGGTTTGAATACAATAGGCAGGTTATAGCTAAATTTTACATTACCCAAATATTTTACTTCTTAGAACGGATGCAGCAAATGTTGGTGATATACAATTTAGAGTATCTGTTTGCATACCGAAGCCTTGCACCACAAGACAAGCGTTGCCTAATCTTATCGGAACCCAGTTGGTAAATTTCCAAGAAGAATTTTGCCGGTTTAAAAATGACAAACCCTGGGCACCAGGGGTTTATGTGGCTATGTAAGTACCTTTTGGTTATATATTTCTCTAACTTAATCGTGTTTATTCGCTTTAAACTGAAGTATATAATAATTATTTTAGATATTGTTTAGATATTTATTAACAAATAAGACAACACATTCAACACCAATGTTAATTGTTATTTATTTTTCATTATCACTAACAGATTGAAAATCATCTGGAATCATTTTCGTGTGTGTAATTTACCTAATTATACATCTAACAACAACGCACTTGTTTTTCAGTATTGTCTTCAGTTTATTTGGTTTACTGGCCATTCTTAGTACCAGTTACGATATCTGGAATACTGTTATTCAGAAACGAGGTAAGTCTATATATTATACCTATAACAGCAGATGCATCGGGATATAAAATAGAAACTGTTTCTGTTTTAGATGATACGAACAATGTTAAGATTTTGTTAGCCTCCAACCAAACCAATTAAAGCAATTTTTAAATATTTTTGTATTTAATCCAAAAAAGAACCCTTTTCCTAATTTAATACATGTCAATATAATATTAAGGATTGTAATATCACAAAAAATAATATTGTTAATGGTCTCCTTTTGTTATAATTATGAAAGTATGCGATAAAAAAATATTTTAAGATCTTTGAACAAATTTTGTTCAAAGATCTTAAAATTAATATTATTAATATATTAATATTAATATTATGAAATGTACTTTCCACAATCAATCTTTACTATTTTATCATATAATTTATTTTTTTGCTTCGGATACTTAAGTGGCAAATGTTATATCAACTCTTGTCAGGTTTCTGCTGCCTTCTTACCGCTCTGTAAGCGCCATTCTCTCTTTAAATCATATGTATAATACTTGTCTCTAGCAGATCTGCTTATTATTTGATCTGTCCAGCGTATTAATTTACGATTGCCTATCTGTCCTTCTTACTTCTACTTTGCTGACTACTTCTTAACTTTTTTTTAGTGAGAGCTTATACAGTTAGAATACTTCGTCATCTTTATTCGTTTTAGATTAAATTTAGAGAATTATCTAATTGGTTTCCGTTGCTAGAAAGAAGCAACTATATTAGGTTTATAGAGCTTGTACCAAATGTTATCTAAATCTCACTTTTCATATTCAAGCTGATTAGATGCATAAGATCATCGTGTGCACAAAATTACATTCATCATATTATGTACAAGCTCTAGAAAAAAAAGTGTTTAAATTTGTGAATACTATGGTGATTATTATTTTTTTATTTTCAGATCCCAAATCTCTCAGTACAGTTTATCAATCGTTCTCAGTATACACCAATTCAAGTCGTCTTATCACATATAAACCAGTTCGCGATGCCTTAGAATGTGTCGATGGTATCAGAGCAATAACTATGGCTTGGATTATAATTGGGCACACAATGTATTTTCTTCCACCATTTATAAATATTGTGGACCTGTCTCAGGTATGTAGTTTGATATTTATTATTATGTCTATGAAAAAGTATGCCTGCTTTCTGCCTAATAAGTCACTAATGATAATTACTGTAACTTGGATCTTTTCAAGGCGAAAGTGAATAGATATTATTTAGGTGTGCGTGCTACATCTTCGACTTTCCATTAGACGAGATGGAGGTAAAATGCGCGCTTATTCGTACATTAAAAAAAGGAAGAAACTATAATAAAGATAATGATATAATCCATCTGTGTAAATCAAACAAATTACAATTAAATTGTGGTTCTCTTTACTGTTTATGCATAACGCTCTACAGCAAAACAGCGTTCTGTTGTGTTCTGGTTACAGGTTAGCAAAATCGCAGGGACAGGAGATTAATTATTATGTCTCTTGTTCGACAATGTATTTCCGATATTAAAAATACACTGCTCAATCCAAGGAACAAGGTTATTATAATATAATTATAATATTTTTTTCAAATTTAACAAACTGTTGCCCTTTATACTGTACATCAAAAGAAGCGTTAATTAATATTAATTTTTAAGATAAAACAATACAAGGATTGTTAAGGCAAAAAATCAAAATTTATTATAATATATGAAAAAAAAAATTAAAATTAAATCTATCGTAGCAGTGAAAATTATTAAAAAAGCTATTAAATAAGTTTTTAATTTACATGGTTCAGGGTGTGGAGCTATAATATGGAATTATCTCCTTACAGTATTTTGCAAAAAACGATTTCGTCTCTTCGTAGTGATCTAGTATCTTCCTCAGTGACGTTCGGCTACATCTCCTATAGCTTTGTAGCGCACCCGTAATCGACAAATTAGCTTGGTTGCCAGATAACGGCGACTACAACATTAGCTTCCAACACACGCACAGCCTTAAGCATGTTCACTTGCGTTAGATGACGACGTGATATGACGCTTAAAATGACAAAAATTAACAAAAACAGCAATAAATTGTTTAACACAAGAAACGCATACGCAAAGTGATGATCAACTCTCAATTGCTTACACTGTGCCTATATAAGGTTTTCTCTTCTAATTTGAAAATGTTTTTGCTTTTATGTTTTATTTTTTTTAATATTTCAAACCATAATTTAATTTTAATTTACATTTGTAAATTTCGGTGGCCTGATTTTTTTTTTAAAATAATTAATATTGAATAATTTAATATTTATTGGCTTGTTCCCTAGATTTTGTTGAGTAGTGTATTTTTTATTAAAGCAGAGATCCATTAGTTAGTCCGACTGACATTCTATCTGTTTAAACATTTTGGTATTTAAAACAACTTTACTTAGAAGCAATGTAGCTTGATTACGAAACTCATTAATAATTAAATTCTTTTTACTCTATTATAGACTCTTATGTCATTACGTTCGTTTTGGTTGGCTTCATTCGATATCGGTGTGGACACATTTTTTATGCTAAGCGGATTGTTGGTCGTCTACACTACTGTTGGAAAAATAAGCAATAGTAAGTGTCTTTTTCATAATCCTGTCTTTGATGTTTTCAATAATTTACAAAGGCGTACTCTTATTTTTACTTTAAAATATTATTAACTTACACATAATGATCTTATATGCAAAAAAACATACACGTTTAAATGTTATGCAGATACGTAACGTCTTACTTTATTTATTTTATATTAAATCTTTATTTCTGATTTTCTGCACACTCAATAATCATTCACGTTGCTATAATTATGATTAATGACTATAGACCCTTTACCTGTAACTCAGAAATAATTTCTAAGGTTACCTGGAAGAGATCACTGTCTAACCATAAGGTAGCCGATTGTATCTTTCACCATGTTTTGTATTGTCGCTGATTTGTTATTGACATTATGTTCCAAAAAAGACGACGCTAAGAAATACGTCGACTAGTCGACATGTGAATTTTTGAGGAATGAGCTGTTAACTCAATAAGGTGCGCTTTCCACGCATCTTTCAATTGTATAACATACCCATCGGATTTGTTACTAAATCGAAACTATGTTACGTTAGATATCTTACGACAATTCACGCATCAATTGGGTTTTTCCTTGGACCTTTTGATTATACTGAATGTATATCGGAATTCGTCCGTAATCTCAAAACTCGAATCTTCGATGTGTAATAAGTTTCTTTTTTATCCAAAACGTATAAATGACAGATTATTATTTTTTTAATAAAAAAACAAAACTCATTAAATATTTTAAAAACGTTTAACGTTTTAATCTTCCTATATTTAATCTACCCATTGTATCCTTTTCGAAAAAACGCAATATTATTTGCCCCTATAGAAATGGTACAGAAATACAAAAATGCTGGAAGCGTATCCTGAATGACCTACTTACTTCTTTTTCTCGGTTTAGTGATATAATTGCTTATTCCTAATCCTTGTGTGATGCGTCCGGTTTAAAAAAAAAAACAGAAAAAAAAGATTGGTGTGTCGTAAAACACTTTTCTAAAATAAAATGCACGCTTTTACTACTTTTAAATTACTTTTCATTTCACTCACACGTAACCACGCAATACAAGTAGCCATTTTCTATAAGTAAGTGTCATTTTGACATTCACTGAAAACCGGCTACCTCACACCTTGCAAATAAGTTACGTTGCTCTCTATCTCATTTTCATTACCTATTCCTTTTGATTATCTTGCAGTTAAACTGTTAAAGAAGCTCCATCTGTTTTACCTCCATCGATATTTACGAATGTTTCCTATGCTAGCCACTACCATATTGCTGCAAGTCGGTGTACTACATTATATTTATGATGGTGCAATGTGGACTAGAATAGCTCCACGAATTAACCGCTGTAGGGCAAGCTGGTGGTTAACATTACTTCAGGTGCAGAATTTTTTCCCACCATGGGTACGTATTGTTGTCGTTTATTCTTTTTCAAAGTTATATCCAATACGAGTTTACACGAGATTTCAGAATCGTTAATATTTTAACACATTCACGGACAGGGAGTCACCCACTTTGGACACTAAAAATTGCATGACATTTTTGGAAATGTCATAGCAGCCTCGTCCATAGCACGCTTATATCACTGAATGTGACAATAGACGCTGTAGCATTCTATAAAAGTTGACTGCTATAGCACTTATGCCGTTCGACACTTGGTGCCAAAAGGGCGTCATCGCGCGAAAATCACTTTACTTTCACCTATCACTTCTCAATCTTACCTAATACACACCTAAAAAATCTCATACAAAGACAGATTCTACAGCATTCTTGTCATAATTGGGGAGATGACTTAACAAATTTTGTTTGTACGCAAAAATCATCCTATACGACAGTAAGCGGTTTTGACTAAGTATTAAATGTGACAGTAAAGCCTGATCATTACTAATTTACTATGGTAAAGCGAATTCTTCAGCATTTCTGCCCAAGAAAGGAAGACGAACTTCGCACACTATAGCATTCGTGTCACAGTGCGGTAGGCAAATTCAAATGCTTATAGGATTGCTGTCCGTGAACGTGTTAATAGATGATAGATATTGAATCACTTATCTGAACTTGGAAATTATATTTTGTGGCTCAGTTTTATCTGAATATAAAAACATTATAACACCGTACATTGCCGCAGAAGCAACTTTAGTCAAAATATACTTACCTATTTCATGAAAGTCAAATGTTTATTTAATTTTTTTGTTTATGTCAAGTTTCAGTGTACAGGTCACGCTTGGTACTTAGCGATTGATATGCAACTACACATTCTGTCTCCATTGATATTATTCTTCGTATTGTCAGGCAAAAAAAATCGCGCCTGGTCGGCTTTGATTGTTGGATTATTAGTTGCTCTCACTGCGTCGTCAATTTACATCTACATGAATAATTTCATTAGTTCTTCAATACGACCTGAGTAAGTATTGTATATAGAAATGGAACAATTAATATTAATGTTCAATATTCTAAATGGATTTACTCAATACATCGCTTATAAGTGCCTCTGCACGCGGCATATTTTTTACGCGCAGTTGAAATGCAGATAGCACGAAATGGATCTATTTCATAAATAATTCGATAAATTCTAAAAAGAATGCATCGACGTTCACTTCGGCATTGGACGTAATACGAACGGATACCGAGTGGTTACAAAAATTAGAAAGATATCGTAGAAGTTGTTATTTTGTTTTCAAACAAAATAATCCATGTATCGTTCCAGCTTAGAACATACTTGCCCTTAAGCGGCCCACTCTGATTGGTCAATACACTGAACGCCCCGCCCTTGCACGTGATGCACGCAATATACGCTCAATGCAAACTTTGAAATTTTTTACTTTTTGAGTCGGTACGGGCCGGGCCCCGTAAAAATGCGTCGTCTGCGTGTGTACAATAAACCATATGGATAGGCACTTATTGAGAATATTAGTATCTGTTAAATAGGTATTGTTTTAAATTTTACTACTTAAGCAGTTTAGATCGACAGATTATGTTTTATTTCTTTCATTTTCTACATCTACATCAAAAACCCATCACGTCTCACTATAGCGCGCGGAACTCATCTCTGGCGAAGATTAGGTCTAAGGGTCGTATTCCAGAACTCTACTCAATACTCAAGTCAGAACTTGAGTATTGCAGTGAGCACTGAAAATCATATTCAAGACCTTGCCATTAGGGTCGTATTTCCAGTGCTTGAAATCATACTCAAGTCTGCTCAAATCCTGACTTGAGCATTGAGTAGAGTTCTGGAATACGACCCATAGTTCATTACCTAGAACTGACCAACTACGATGTCTTTCACAATTCTACCGTGTCAAACAAAAACACTGTAATATCAAAAACAGCATATCGAGGAAACGCTGCGTAAAGGATTTATTTTTTCTCATTTCTGAGTTTAGTAACATAAAATGATACATTTCACTTACGTTGTGCTTTAGATATTAAAGAAATCTATCTAGCCATTATAATTTCAGATTGGAAATTAAGGCATTTCTATTGAAAAACAAATAAAATACCTTTTCCTCGTTAACAGCCGAATGATTCTTGTTGTTCTGGAATTACAAAACACTATAATGCCTTGCAGTGGTTTAGTTTGACACGACAGAGTGTCGTTTTTTGTTGTTAAAATTTGAGTCGCGACAAAATGTTAGTAGACCCCCGATTCTGACACGTGTGCGCGATCTGAGAGTTTTCGCTAACTCAGGCGCCCCACAACACTGTACTGCATTTCGCGCGCGTAATTGTCAAACCAAAAGACTGTATTGCTCCGTACCATATTGTGAAAATAATTTCTAAATTTTAAAACTTACAGTTTTTTTAAAGTTATTTTAGTTTTCAATATCTCATTTAAAAACACTAATACCTCCAAAGTTGAAATGTCAGGGTATAAATTAGGCCTAGGGAAATCATCTTAAGTCAAAACACTGTAAATGACTATACAGTGTATTGGTTTGACACGGCAGCATTGGCATAGGTAATTAGATAACTAACTTGCTTATGATCTGAACAGTCTTAGTAAGTAATTGCCATTTGTGAGATTTGAACTGAGGACGTGCAAGTTAAAACCCGTAGATATTTTTTCAATTTACTATTCTATCAGTGCTATCTATTGCGGCTCGTATTTATTTTTATTTCAGAACGGATGTTGAAAGTGCAGAACGATACGCGAGCCACTATTATAATAATACGTTGACAAGATGTCCACCCTTCTTTGTTGGGATGTGCTTTGGATATTTGATCCACTTTGAAAAGAATATTCGATTTTCAAGGGTAAGTTTTGAATCTCAGTCGTTCGAATGGTGATTTTAGTTTGCTCGAAAGCGTTTGAGTAGAAATATTAATGTTATTCTTGCTACACAACGAAAGAAAAACGCATAACATTTTGAAATAGTGTTCTACATTTTAACAGTCTGCAAGATAGTTTTCTATGATTTAATCACGGGTGACTTTTTAGTCACTGTTCAAATTTTTCTAAGCATTAGGTGTCATATAAAAACGTCATTGTTGAGGAAAATTAATACTAGATCGGATTTGCACTTTTTTATTCTGATAAACTATAGTTTAATGTCGTAGATTGTTTATCAGAAACAAGTTCCAGAATTTTTGGACATTTTCGTCATAGTACTTATTCATGTATCACTCTATGCATTCATCAATTAATTCGAAAGATCGCTACGGCACGAGGCCGACGATATAGTCCGAGCCGGTACTGCAATCGTTTCTTCCCTCCATCGAGCACAGAACTCGACGCTTCCCTCAGTCACAGAGACAATTCGATACGCATATGTATTTAAGAATGCGTGACGCGTGTATATGCATAACTGCCTCCTTGGCCGAACGGTTACCGTGCCGGACTGCCACGCAGAGGTCCCAGGTTCGATTCCTGGGCCTGGAGAAATATTTGTGTGGCCTACATTTATTTCTCTCGTAAGTGTGGGTGTAATTTGTGGTTGTCTATGTTTGGGTCCATGGCACCCGCGACACAGGGTTTCCCTAGTGCGGGGCTATGTTGAGTGTGTGTGTCTACGTTATGTCTCGGGCTGCAATGTTTAAAACATTGCGAGTACTACTGGGGGTAAATGTGATGTGATTAAGGTAAATATGAATTATAAAATTTGTAGAATAGAACAATTTATTTCATATAATCATTATATAAAGTGTGGTGGTTGACTTAGCCAATGAAAGATCCTGACTATGATAACCAAGCTTAATATGACTTTTTTTAAATAGCTAACAATTTTGTATGAAAATGTGACATTTGTCCGTCTTGTCTGTTGAATAAAAAATCTGCACACAATCTGTATAAAGATGATGACTACCGCGTCGGTTTATAGTTATGGTGTGTCGTATTTATTGATGAAAATGGAATTACAGACATTATTGATTCACAGATCTTACATTGCGTATTATGGATCGTCAACTTAACCGTACTGTGCTTGGTACTCTTCTCGTTTGAGCCAATGAAAAATCCTGACTATGACAACCAAGCTTTAGATAACTTTTTGAACTCCTTTAGACGACCGGCATGGTCTATTGGTGTTGGCTGGCTTATTTTTGCATGCACTGAAGGTTATGGAGGTGAGAAAATTCTATGTAAACATTACACAACACTCGAACACTGAATTTACACACAGAATTTATTTAGAATCCCGGATTAAAATCTCAAACACTCGCCAATGTAAATAAAAACAACAGTGGACCAAGGATCGATTCTTGGGGGACTCGCGGAGATTTCGCGACCCTGACCACTTGATGTCGTTTGACAGATATAATTCAAGAAGTTTATGAGCATTGCCGGTAATACCTGTCCGGGTTGTTGTTGACGAACAGCTCAGCGAAGAGTTTCTAACGTCTTCAAGTAAAACTCCTGCTTCATGTATATACTTTTTAATTACGTAGTTTTTGATACAACAGATATGTAAAAAATAAAATAAGTAAGAACGGCGTAGTGGACGGTTACGGACTCAGCCCTCACCCCTCAGGAACTGGTTCCGCTGCAGCAGTGGTAACATACCAATTGCTTGTGTTTAAAATTTAAAGGATTTTGTGACTAACTGCATCAAATGTCTTTCTTAAATCGATAAATATGCCTAAATAGATTTTCTTTTTCGTCGATGTTATTAACTATATCTATTTTTGTAACTATAACTACGGTAGAAGTTGATTGAGTCTAATCCTTGCAACACGAGTATAGATAATTCTTTCATATATTTTCGACAAAATCTGTAAGATATGAGGTGGTAGTGATTAGGATCCAATTAGGTTCAATTCTCACTTTAACAATTTTAAAATTTTTGGAGTATGCGTTTTTCCTCCTAGAGTCTTACGTTCAGAATATTTTAATTGTTACATTTGACACTTTCTATACGAATTGATTTTGATTTCTGCCATGTGTACCCCAGTTATTGAAATTTTTAAGGTTTTTTAGTACATTGTTGAGTGTATACTTTAGAAACTGTGCCATAGAGCTCAAAGCGGCAAGTGTATAAAATAGTATTAATATGTTTCAGGCCCAATCAACTGGTTCTTGTCACTGAAATTTTGGAAATTGCCGTCTCGACTTTCATATGCGATGTATTTGTTGCATCTGCCCATACAATTCGTTATAATAGGGGCACCTACGCAACAAATGTACTTTTCTATGCCAAATATTGTAAGTATATCTATGTACTAGTCTATGATGCTTTTTAATAGCCATTGGATTAATTGAATAAAACATGTATATTGCAAAACGATACAATTAAGTCGTGAAAAAATGACTACGTGACATTGGATTTTTTAGCCTGAACAACCTTACTTATTTAATAATGACACAAACAATTGTCCAGTTGGTCGTAAAAATTTGTAGTGTGATACAATACAATTTTAATATCGTTTTATGTATCAAATAGCAAAATACATTACCATAAACGAGATAAAAGAGGTTACATTTTAGACAAACTCAGGTTGACATGATAGTCATAACAATAATACACTTATAAACTAACTGAATAATAACTTATGTATAAATGTTTCCTATATACAATAAGTAGAACTACTTGTTTACATAAAACATGACGACGGTAAAAGAGAAGAGTAGTAAATGACAATTTGCTTCGGTCTTGAAGTCATTTACTCTAGTTAATTTAATATACGTGCCAAACGTTACACTTGTTGACATAGCGTCTAGCACGGTTGTCTGGAAGATGTCTCGGTTCGAATCCGGTCGGATCGAAGGAATTATTTCTAAGTGTTCGATCTTTGTATTATTAGGTTAATTGTAACAAACTAATGGAGTAATTTAACAAAAAAAAGAATATCAATTCAATAAAAAAAAAATCTGAGTTAATAGCGACAACCCTAGCAAGAGCTGGTAGCTATAAAGGTATGTAACTGGGTGACGAAATACTTTCATAGAAATGTCATAGATACGCTACGGCTAAAAAAGTCGTTGAATACCAAATACAACGATCCGACAACAAGCACATAGAAAAATTCGTGCGGTCCGCTGGTTTGTTCTGTTGCTTAGTTGGCATAGCGTCTGACACGGTTTGCTAGAAGACGCCGGTTCGAATCCGGCCGGATTGAAGGAATTTTTTCTAAGTGTAGTAGTGTGTATTAGAACAAGAGTCTTAACGTTTTTTTTTTTTGTTACAGATATACATTTTTTGTTCTCAATATGTGATGTATTTCATAGCCAGCTTTATTCTAACAATTCTAGTGGATTTCCCGTGTTCCAATATTATAAAAATAGTCTTAGGTAGCGGTGAGTAATTATATATTTCACCCAGTTCTATACATGGAAAAACACGTACAAAAGCGCACGCGTGAGCTTTTCATTACATACATGTATTATATTATATACATATATAACAACGTAAAAAATTTAACTAAGTTCGTTCAGTGGCTTATTTGGCAAAGCGTCTAGTACGGTTTGCTAGAAGACGCTGGTTTGAATCTAACCGGATCGTAGGAATTTTTTCTAAGCATCCAATCTTTGTATTAATAATTGTAACAAACTGGTGGTAAGTGCTAGTAATTGCACAAGAAATAATTGAATAATTGAATATCATGTTGGTGAAACATCCTGACATTCAATAAACTTAATTACAAATACAACAAAGGTTTAATTATATAGTCAACAACACATCAAGCAACATAATATCGCTTCACGAGATCCGTCAATGTTTAGCTTTCGACGCTACCATTCGTACAAGACTGGCCCAATTTACATTTCATAAGAATAAAACTTTTTGTACACGTCATGTTACTTGTTGGCAGTATCTCTTTTTTAATATACATTTTTTTGCACAGGCATCAAAAAATCTGATCCAGAGCGACGACGTGATTTAAAAGCATCCGAAAATAAACCTGTGACTCAGCAACAAAACGAATTAACCAATGAGCACCACAAAGACGCAACCTGATTTCACTAAAGTTTAAAAATATATATTTTTGCGTACGATTTACATTTTAGCTGATTGTTATTAGATTATTATTTAAATAAAAGTTTACTTGTTTATTCTCTTTATTAGTTCTGTCTCAGTTGCGTTTACTGACAGTTCATATACTCTGCACCATCTTTCCACAATTCCGAGCGCAGCTTGTGTAATATCGCAGGGTGTATTGGCATATTTGCCTGTTACCATAACTATGTCATCAGCATATCCTACTGTATAGAAATGTTTTTTATTTAGTTTGGTGATGAGATGTTTTTTATTTAGTCGTTTACGACCATGTTCCATGACAGAGGCGATAGTACTCCTCCTTGAGGGCTTTTTTCTTTGCTACTACGGCCCATGAGGTCTCATTTGCTGTTGTTTTCATTGTTCTTTGCTTAAGCGTGTTGCTAATACAGCTGTTTAGCACTGCATCCAATCCGTGTCTTCTTAGAGCTGACTGTATGCCGAAGATGTTGGTTTTATCGACGGCTCCTTCGATATCTACAAAGGTGCTTAGGCAGATTACATTGTTTTTGAGGGCCTCTTCTATTCAACCAATAAAGGCATGTAGGGCTGATTCAGTAGACTTGCCTTGGTTGTAAGCATAACGGTTTCTGTGTAGCAGTATGTTCTTGGGGGCTCCATCTCTGAGTTCTATGTCACATGTCCTCTAATATTTTCAATAAGAATGATGTGAGGGTGATGGGCCCCAAGGATTTTACGTCACTGTAATCGTTTCTGCCTGGTTTCGATATAAATATTACTTTTACCCTCTTCAGAGCACATAATGGAATGCTAGTCAGACCCGAAAGATGTTGACTTGGTGCTGGACCAGTTTGTCTCCGGCCCATTCAAGGAATGCGGGAAAAATCTTGGCCTGGAACTTTGTATGGTTCAAAGGTGTTTATTATCCATTTTGTATTTTCGTACGTTACAATTTGTTCACCGTATCTCCAATTATCGGTTGATGTGTTGTAGTGCATTTCTTCACCCGTGTCATGTTGGACATATCTACATCTGTCCCAGTGTGCTTCCAGTAGGATTCTCTCCGTTTCCGCAGGGGAAGTTCTACCGTGTCAAACCAAAACACTATAATATCAATATTTATCTTATTCAGCTTTTTCAGAAAAGGCTGCGTAAAGGATATTTCGAATTTTTGTCATTTTTAAGGTTAATAACATAAAAAGATACATTAAACGTACGTAGTACATTAGATAATAAAGCAATCTATTTAGCTATTATAATTTTACTTCGGATAGTAAGTTATTTCCATTGAAAAAAATAAAAATATATTCCCTCGTTAATAGCCGAAAGATTCTTGTTGTTATGAAATTACAAAACAATCTATTAAACCTTGCAGGGTTTGATTTGCCACGATGAATGCCGTTTTTTATTGTTAAAATTTGATCGCGCTCGCGACAGATGTTATTATAACCCCCGCGCATAAGGCATTTGTGTGATCTGAGAGTTTTCGCTAACTCAGGCACCCCACAACACTGTACTGCATTTCGCGTTTTTAATTGTAAGTCGCAATTTTAAGTGTATTTCAGTTTTTGATATATCCTTCAATAACAGTGTATTTTTTTTTTTTTATTTCCATACTTTAATTATTTAACAGTTGCTAATTGAAAATAGAGATAGTAAAGTATTTCTGTAGCAGTGTGATAAGGACATTATAGGCAGTAAAATCATCGACTATCAATTCAACGTTTTTTTATATTTTTTTTATGATATTTATTTAGAAGATGACTATTCAGGAAGTAATAACCTATAGGAAGTTTCGAGATTTCGTGCGATAAAGAAGATCTACACTTCCTAGACAATTATTTCACTGTTGCTTGTGCCACGAAAGTCCACCATACCTCGCGTTTTTATTTTTAAACATATGAAATTCTAATACAGGTGGCAATTTTTGTTGGAAAGTTTTTTTCGTACTCAATACTCACATTTCTTGCTTGTAAGTGATTCGACCAAACGAATTTATAGTTTTCTTATTTAATTTAGTTCAGTGAGCTTTTCATCAAATATGTACTCCTTCTTCAGATCCTTTAAAATATCTATGGTTGAGAATTTGAGAGAGTTTGAGAATTTTTTGCCATTTTGTGTAATAAATGTTTTTTATATATTTTTTTTTATTCTGAAACAAAATTTTTGTAATGTGTATTTAAAGGCGGTTTTTCGAGGGCTGTTTAACATGGATTCCAAATCAGAAACTTTTTCATTGGCAAGGCTGTTAGGGCTAGCAACTGTTGCTTACAAAGACAATGATACCTGAAGAAAACATGTCCAAATAAGCTTAATTAATAACCTGCAATGGCAAATCGTAATACGTTGAAGAATTTCTAATAAATATTACGTACGTATTACGTACAATTGTCCTAGTACTTATAAGGAAGGAATATATTTTACTTAAATTATTTGGCTGGCAACTTTCTTCATTTATCTGTTGGCGGATAATGTTCATCCATCCAACACAGCGTAATTTGTTTGGTGGAAATCCTTGCACTTTACAAGTCTTGTTTGTACAAAATCTCGCAAGATATTATATATTCTCGTAAGTCATCATCATTTTTGTATTTTAGCAATTCTCTCTGACGTTTCTGACAGGCGGCAACTTCAGAGTGCAACGCTAGACTAAAATCGAATAAGCTAATAAGTGCACTTTTAGCGTACCACATTTGAATCATTAATTTTATTATTTTAAAAATAACATTATTTTAAATAATAAAATAGATTCAATTCAATCTTCCAGAAAACGTAGTTGTAGTCACATCCCTAATAAGCCGCCAGTATTGGTTACCAGTTTCATCTTTCTTATGACCTGTTCATTCTTGTCCATGAAGTCGTCGTGCACGTATTACATGAAAAACAAAATTTGTAAAGTGTGCTTGTAAGTGCATGTTATACAGGTGAGTAAAATATATTGTTATTCCTAGTTAACAACCATTCAAATAGTATGCAATTAAAAAAAACAACGTTTTATCATTGTCATTCAAATTTGGTATTGTTTTGTTTATAATGATTAAAATTTACTTATAACACTGGATGTCTGTGTTGTTTTTATGGTTTATTTACGTTTTAATTTGCGTTCAGGGAGCTTAATTAAACCTTAATGCGTTGTATTAAGAAACATATATTGAAGAAATTTCTAGAATATTTTAGAGCTAAACATCATTTACATTGCGTCGTTACGTGCGTGCTATTAATACGTTAAGGGTGTATGGGATAAAATGTAAAATTTTTGTCCCTTACCCCCAAAAGTAGAGTGTACTTGAAATGATATAGTATAGTCGTAAGGGACAAAATTTTGTAAATGTCTTTTACATCCAAAAACCTTGCAATATAGTTCATTACTTTTATTGTTTATTACTAATAATTTATACAGTTGAATGAGGAAAACATTAGCTTTTTACAATAAATAAATGCTAAGTTTATTGTGTCACTCTTTTTCAGAATGGCATCTCAGGAAAATATTAAAGAAAATAAAGAAATTGGTAAGGAGTTTTACAAACCGATCGATATTTCGTTAAAAAGACCTCGAACATCGAATTTTGACATTCAGCCAGAAGTAAAACCAATCAAAATTAAAAAAGAAACAAAGAAGATTATGATATTGTCCAACGTAGTACTGGCTGCAAACCAATCTTTAGCTTTACCTAAAAAAAATCGTCCTAAATAACCCAGCTTTTACTCCTCCATTATCTGATGTATCTGCGGACGCCACGGCAGCTACTTCTGCAAGTGTTTCCAAACCAGCAGACGCAGAAATTATTCCTCCACTACCAGATGCTATGGCTGCTCTCTCAGCAAGTATTCCAGGATTACTAGTATGTGCTTTTGAACCTCCTTTGCATGGTATATCTGCATGTATTACACCAGCTTCAGCCAGTGTTTTTATGTCTTCGACATCTGATGTAGATACTGTGACAACTCCAATAGCAGGCGAATTGGAATCAGCAGTACCTTTGGTAGCAAATGCCTTTAGTCCTTCTTTACTTGATATTACGTCTACAAACGATGTTGCAGCTCCACTGCCCTGCAGTGTGAAACCATTTTCTGAAAATAATGTCGAAGAGATAACCAGCGATTTTATATCCGCGACACTTGATGTATCTGCAACTTCTGTGACAACTCCATGTGTGTTGGAACCAGTAGCCGATGCCCTTAGTCCTTCGTTACTTAATATTACGCCTGCAAAAGATATTGCAGATCCACGAGACAACTTTACAGCATGATACTGATACCTGAAAATAATCATATGTTAGATAATGAAGACGCTCATGATTCACCCATGATCTGAAAAAGAAAAAGAGACTTCGAGAAAAGAAATTTAGAAAATCATGTATTGATTTTGTATCTGATGAAGATTTAGAAGACTTTTCTGACGGAAGTTCTGATAATTGGACGGCAGACGGAGTCTGAAAGTTCAAGTGATGAAGAAATATGTAAGAAGAAAGGTAAGAAAAAGAGGAAAACTATAAAAAAGAAAACCTAGTAAATAAACCATTATATCAAAGAAACGAGTTAGGAAGCCTAACAAACAGAAACTACAAAAACAGTCTAGAGACGAAGGAAATGCAC